TTCCAAAATGGCCGCCGGAAGCCCGGAAATGGCTGCCGGCAGCCGTTTTCGCGCCCTGCCCTCGCTTAGCGAAGGCGCGAAAATGGCTGCCAGCACCTGGAATCCTCGCTGAACGGGTAAGTAACAAAGGTATTGGAACGCATTAAACGAAGTTTAATGCGTTTCAATACGTTTCCCCTACCCGCTTAGCGATGATTCCGTATAGCGAGGGTTAATCCGGAACGGATTAACCTCGCTATACGGGGCACCACTGTATTTACAGCTCTCACTGATGAATATTTTTCAGATTGGAAACAAAGTAGATAAGCTGGCAGTTTTTCAGAGTTTTGCTTCATAGAATCCTAGACGAGGCAGAATCAGTTTAGAGCTGGGATATAATGGGGGCTTCCAAGTCCATCTTGTTTACTTTCACACTTCATCTTGCCTCTTAGTCAAACTCTCTGTTAACCGTAAAATAAACTTCCCTTTGAAAAGTAAGTGCTCTTCACAAAATGCATTGTAGTTGATGTTATAAGAGTTTATTTGGAGGAAGTAGTAGTTTGGTGGGAAAGGAGTAATGGGAGTTAAGTCTATCAATCCAACCACTCTGACTTCCAGTATATATAAGTAGGTCACTCATGGCACTTTAGTGGTTTCTTCAATAAAAGCTTCTGTTCTTATTGTTTCAGAAGGGTCATTGATTGGTTGCTCGGATGTAACGCTTGCTATAAGCTTCTGGCCAAGAAACTGTTTGGAAACCTTAAGGCTAGTAGGATTAAACATAAAAGTAAAAGCTAATGAGAAAATGTTGGCAGTTGCAAAACACTGGTTGGGCATAGTCACTCTTTGCACATCTGGAGTTAGGAAAAAATATTTTTTGTGCTAATAATTGAGTTGCGTGGACAAGTTTTTTTAAAAACTACTGTAATTTCTGCAAGATTAGAAAAAATTACGTAGTATTGAATTTGGAACTTTGCAGTTTGTTAAAAGATCTGGACCAGATAAGTACTTTGTTAAGTAGAGCTGTATTAAGACATACTCTATTTGTCCTTAAAACATCAGCAATTAATTAATCATTTTAATGTGACTAACAACAGGAAACTGTAGTAGCATTTCACCCGCACCGACACTTGTATGCAGTTACACTTTTCTGTTTTGCTGCAGGAAGCTTACTTCCGTTATATGGCAGAAAACCCCAATGCTGGTGTGGTTCAAGAAGAGGAAGAAGATAATCTGGAGTATGACAGTGATGGCAACCCAATAGCCCCATCCAAAAAAATTATTGACCCCCTTCCTCCCATTGATCATTCAGAGGTGAGATGTCTTCTATCAATAATGCTAATTTCAGCTGAAATCAACATTATCCCAGTACTGTAAATATAAAAAAGTAAAGTAAGACATTCTCATACATGTTGCAGTACTCATGTTTCGCATTGCTTTGGTTCAAAGACACAGAACTAGATGGCAGAACAAATGTTTATGTCACATTATTATCTTTCAGTTTTGTCATGGAAGATAATACTTTCATAAATCCTGTGCTGCCAATTATTGACTGAACGGAAACATTTATGCACGTTCCATTAATCCACAACTGCTCAGGGGAAGACAACAGACAGTTTTTAATTGATTAAGTGGTATCCTTTCTAACTCTGAGTAATTGTCCTGCAGATTGAATACCCACCATTTGAGAAGAACTTCTACATTGAACATGAAGAAATTACCAGTCTTACCCCACAACAAGTGGTGGAGCTACGCCATAAGTTGAATCTTCGGGTATGACGAGAACATCCTGCTTCAGAGGCTGTTTTCTTGATCCCACCTAAGCACTGCACACAAAATAAATATTGAAACTTACATAGAAGTAAAATACTTTTCAGCCAAATGAACTTATAATCCAATAGAATCAAGAATGTAGAAAGGGAGAGAATTAGTGGTGTTCAGTTTTTAGGATGGTGGTACAGAGGAGAAATAAATATAAATAGCTATACTGAGGAGGTGCATGCAGTGCTTTTCAAAAGTTGATCTTGGGATGCTTTAGGACAGCGGTTCCCAACCTTGAGTCACCTAGGTTTTCTTGGACTGCAATTCCCGACGCCTTCAGAACAGCTATGCGGGCCAGGGTTTCTGGGAGTTGCAGTCCAAGAACAAAAGGGTTGCCCAAGGTTGGGAACCACTAGTTTAAGAGAATATTGTATCTTCACATACAGAGAGAGAAAGAGATCTGCTCTTCAGTATCAGAACAGGTACAGTAGAAAAACTGGGAGCACAGTCAGCAGATAAACTGCAACTTGACTTCAGCAGTTCATTACTCTTAAGCCACCATATGCCAATAATAAGTATCTGTTAGTTGACAGAAAATTTGTTTTTCCAGTCCAGCCTGTTTTTGTTTGGCTATTTGGAGTGGGTGGGTGTCTGCTCCTCTTTTGCATTATTCAGTCCCTCTTTCCTGGGGTTCTGTTTACTCCACTGGTTGCTATATCTGTTCTAACATCTAGCTAGACCCATCCCAGTAAGTTAACAACTTAGCCTTTCTTACTTACGTTTTGCATTTGCAAAGACCTAGCAGGCGGAATTTTCCTTTGGTACAAGTGTATTCTGAATTGTTTTGGAGTTCTTCTGGCCACCACACCACATACAGCCAGATTTCCTCTCTGACTTCCCACTAAGAACTTGGACTTCTGTCTGTCCAAAAAAAAAAAGTCTCAATTTCTGAACTGTTGAAACTGTTATGTATATAATTTACTTATCTTTTTCCAGGTCTCTGGTGCTGCCCCTCCAAGACCTGGAAGCAGTTTTGCCCATTTTGGTTTTGATGAGCAGCTTATGCACCAAATTAGGAAATCAGAATATACTCAGCCCACCCCTATCCAATGCCAAGTGAGTCCTGTATTCTAGTCTTGACAGAAACCTGCCAAGTATAAACTGTTTTCTTTCTATGTGATTCTGTTACTTCTTGTTTGTTTCAAGGGAGAGTTAGATACACGGTTGGTAAGATTGGTTAGATGATCAGGCACTGAAATCATCTTGTACTTTCAAAGGGCATATGAAAATTTTCTCCAGTGTTAGACACTCAAGTGAGAACTGATGCAGTAGAAATGATTGGAACACTGAGCATTTTCACTATTGTGATTTAGTGTATTGTGCGCTATACATAAATATGCAAATATTTTAGAATGTTTTACAGGCATACACTCATTGACTTCCCACTCTTTCTTTCTCTTCCTTTCTTTAGCATCGTTTCCTGTCAATCAAATCACTACCACATGAATGTAATTTTTTTTCTTTCTCTTCTTCAGGGTATCCCAGTAGCACTAAGTGGCAGAGATATGATTGGCATTGCAAAGACTGGCAGTGGTAAGACTGCAGCTTTCATTTGGCCCATGTTGATTCATATTATGGATCAGAAGGAGCTGGAGCCAGGAGACGGTCCCATTGCAGTGATTGTATGTCCAACCAGGGAGCTGTGCCAACAGGTAGACAAGTTTGAGATGAGGAGATGGGCTGGGATTGAGAAGAATAAATACTGGACTGGAGTAAGCTGTATATCTGAGGAGAGTCATGCTGCACACATGAACTCTCTTTACTGAACTCTCAGCTAACGTTTAGTAAGTGAAAATAATACAGGACACTTTCATAAAACCCTATGTACAGTCATGGTCAAAAATATTCGCACCTTTGCAGTTTGCATTGGAACAACAACAAAAAAAACAGAAGAAAGTCAAATCTGATAAAATTCCACACAGAAACCCAAAAATGCACTGGCCAAAATTATTGGCACCCTTAATACAGTGGTGCCTCGCTTAACAGGCGCCCTGTTTAACGACGAATCCGCATAGCGATGAAGATTTTGCGATCGCATTGCGATGTTCCCTATAGGGAAAAATCGCTTTGCGATGATGGCTCCCCCCCCAATCATCGCAAATGCCCATTTTTGCACAGCTTGCGATGAGGGGGGGGAAGCGATCATCCCAGAAAAGAGCCGGGAGCCATCTTCTCCACTCCAGCCCCTCCCCCTCCCCGCCTCACAGCTAATGGGCGCTGCTCTTAGAAGCTTCCGTAGGCTTGCCCACCAGGTAAACAGGCAGTGGAAATGCACTGGGGAAGCCTCTGAAAGCGGCGCTTTGCCGGGGTGGTTATGGGTGGGGGTGTGGCAGGGGGAGGCCCGCTACCCCCCGCGGCAAAGCATTTTCACTGCTGAAAAAGCCCCAGGAGGCTTCTGAAAGCAGCACGAGGGAGGGCTCTGGGGGGGCAGGGGGTGGCGGGCCTGCCCTTACCACACCCACACCCACCCCGGCAAAGCGCCACTTTCAGAAGCCTCCTGGGGCTTTTTCAGCAGTGAAAATGCATCTCTGAAAGCCCGGCTTTGCCGGGGGGGGGGCAGGCCTGCCCCTGCCACACCCCCACCCATTCCAGTAGGGAAAGGGTTTTCGCATGACGACGATTTCGCTAAACAGCATTTCAGTGGGCGGGTTATCGTCATGCGGGGCACCACTGTACTCCAGTCTTGGTTTTTTATGCCTTTGTGTCAGAAATGGTGTCCCTACCATAGCATCCCTTTTCATTCAGATGGCGATGGATAGTGCGAGCTGACACTGTTGTACCCTGTGTCTGCAGATCAGCTTGAATTTGTTGGGAAGTTAATCTCGGTTCTGTATCCACCATTTGAACATCCCTTTGTTGTAATTTTTCAGTAATTTTGCCCTTCCATCCACGTCCATGGAAGTTAGCTACAGCGTCATGGGCTGTAAACCTCTTGATGATATTGTGCACAGTGGACACAGGAAAATTAAGATCTCTGGAGATGGATTTGTAGCCTTGAGATTGTCAGTGTTTTTCCACAATTTTTTTTTCTCAGATCCACAGACAACTTTTTAAACTTCCTTCTTTTCTCCATGCTTAGTGTCTCACACAGCACAAAGGTCAAGTCAAATTTTCTCCATCTTAACTGGTTGCAAGTGTGATTACTATATTGCCCTCACCTCTTATTTGAAACAGGTGTGTCTAAGTGCAAATTAAAGGAGCATCACATGCTTGAAAATTATTCCTCACAATTTAGGCAGGGTGCCAATAATTTTGGCCAGTGCATTTTTTGGTTATCTGTGTGGGATTATATTAGATTTGACTTTTCTTCTCTGTTTCTTTGTGTTGTTCCAAGACAAAGCAAAGAAATGAACATGTGAGTACCAAAACCTTTGCAACTGCAACAATTTTCTGAGAGAAGGGCTGCATTTTCTGACAAAATTGCAAGGGTGCCAATATATTTGGCCTTGACCGTATCTTGTTCACTAAAACCAAATTTGGATGGAAAACCTCTGAAAATTACTGTATTTTGTAAACTCATGAGAAATAGAGACCCATAAATGTGTAATCACAGAGGTTGACTCTGGGTGAAGTTACAGCATTTGAGCAGGTACTGTGATGGTTTTATATGATTACACGTTTACAAAACTGATTTTACTAAACCCCAGAGGCTTATTGGGGAGTGTTAAGGAACCCATGTCCTGAAAGGGACTGAGGAAGTGATTGTGAAGATGATTCAGAATATAGAGAGAGCACAGAGCTCTGTATTCAGTTCAGTACTACTACTTGTCCCTGAGTGTTTAGGACCATGGTTAAAGGCAGATGGTTTAAGCAGACTGGAATCATTTTGCCACTGCTGCTGGGTGTGGTAACAGTCATGAAGTTGCTTGTGTGTACTTCGGCCGTCCTGTTATTTCAAGAGGGGTTCCACTGCAAATTGGATGCTTTTCCCACTCCACAGTCTCTGCTGATTGCTGGCTTCACTTCCAGTCACAACAGTTTTGCCTTTTGATACCATGAAATGGTATATTTACATTACAACATGGGAATTAAAAGCAAAGAACGATCAACATTTAATAACCAGAAATTCTATCATTTCTGTAATTGGAAGAATTATTGTAATGTGTTTGGAATCAGAAATTGGTGGAATGCCAGTAAATAGGAGCCTGGTACGATCTAGATATGTGCAGATATAGCAAAAGGAGAGAAGAATTCAGTCACTGGAAGGAAGAGCTATTTCAGCGCATCAAGAAATAGATAATTGTAACTATTACTTTTGTTGGCTCCATTGCTGTTTCTTTTTCCCTGGTTTTGATATTGTGTATCAGTCTTCTGTTGAACTAATCTACTTTTAGATCCATGCTGAATGCAAGCGTTTTGGGAAGGCCTACAACCTACGCTCTGTAGCAGTATATGGTGGAGGAAGCATGTGGGAGCAAGCTAAGGCACTGCAGGAAGGAGCTGAAATCGTTGTCTGCACTCCAGTGAGTATTTCACGGGAGCCTTTGTGCTGGGTGTAAGATGCAACTTTGCTTTGTTTAAAAAGGGAGAAAGTAGAGATGTGGTTTCAAAGGAAGTTAATATCTTGAGATCAGTTTTCTGTTTTGTTTGATCTTTTTATCTTGCCATCTCTAGTTTCAATCCACAGTTCTGGTTCATAGTCCTTTGAGATTAGTAACACAAATTTATTCTTTATATGTACTTTAAATTCATCAGAAATATTATTTAAGTTACCATTTAATTGTTGCAATGACCTCAAGTTGTGCTCAGATTTTTTATACTATCAGTTTATGGTTGTGCCACAGTTTGTTTCTGGTCTTTTTGTGGCAAAGAAAATGCAGCTTCTCCATCCTCTGCTTCAAATAATGTAATTTATTTGATTTCTGTATCAGTCATCTGGGAATGTCCAAGGGTACAGTCATTTGTTCACCATATTCTAAGTAAACAAATTGTTGCATTTACAGAATTCTGAGAGTCATCCTCCTGCTTCATTTCTGACTCCAAGGCCAAATTCTCTAACAAGATTTGTTGTGCTTTCTTTGTGTGTGTCTTACTGGATTTGAAAGAAACTAAACTGGAGCAAAGGCCCAAGGTCTAGTGTGTGAAGAAGATGTGGAAGGGGCTTTGAAGCCTTGTCAGGTCACCAGTGGTCCAGATGTTTTTTTGCCAAGCATTGTGAGAACCACGCCACTTACTTGGCACTAAAGGCAGCTGGAAGTCTTTTGTCAAGGACTGCTTTCAAATGTTTTCTTGCCTCTCCTGTCCAGTTAGTGGAACCCTTCTTCCTTATAATAGAACTCTCAGCCAAAGATCCTGTTGCTCATTCTCAGTAAACAACAGAGAGAAGAGGAGGAATGTAAGAGTAGTGGAGTCCTCTTAGAGATTTCCATGTTTAATGATGCTGGTAGTTTGCCTTATTGCTTGATTGATGATATGTTAAATATTTCCAATCAGGGCCGCTTGATTGATCATGTGAAGAAGAAAGCAACTAACCTTCAGAGAGTCACTTACCTTGTATTTGATGAAGCCGACCGAATGTTTGATATGGGTTTTGGTATGTACTTTAGTAGTTGTGGTTGTATGGCTGTGACACAGAACTGAGTTACATAGTTTTCTATTGTTGTGTGCCTTCTGTTGTGTGCCTCCAGAATTGACTATGAAGACAGTAACCTTTCTTATCATTAACTTAGTAACGACGTACAGTATTGTAGTCTTACAAAAAAAGTACAAGATATTTTAGACTTTGTATGGGTGAGGTAGCACAAAATAAGGGCTTTTTGTTTGTAGGATATACAAAGTAAGAAAAGACAGTGGTTTGACCCAATGAAGGGTTCTGAAAGTTTAGAAAGTGATAACCAGGTACAGCACAAACATGCTCTTATATAGTATCAAGTTATGGTATGTATCCTGCCATGGTCTCTCTGGTTAGTAGATAATGACTTTTAGCAGACTTTATGCTCCAGATGGTCGTGTGAAAGGACATACAAGGATAGCTTTTGTGGACCGCTCCCAGCCACTGGAACTTCCTTTCTTCAGAGGTCTGTCAAATCCCAGGCAGAAATGTCTTCCAAAACATTCTTTCTTTCCAAGCAAGCATTTTGTGGTCAAACAGAGAATGTGTTTTTAAGTGTCTGGCTCTCTATAATTTGTTTAATGCTCTTCACATGGCTCAATGTAGCAACAGCATCAGAGGGTAGCATAGAGTACCCAACTGCATTTAAATCATGTATCCATGACAAGTAAGAGAAAGAGTGGATAGTCCTGAAATAAGCATGTCTCACTTTCTCTCAGAATAAGCAGAGGTGCTTTTGTTTCAAATAGCCACATCTGCAAGTCCACTTTTTCAGTGTTGCACATAATGTAGTCATAAATATAGGTGTATGTGAGGTTTTTAAAGATTGATTATTGATCTTAGATGCCAGTGATGAAGACTGTCTCCCCAAGTATAGACTTTTTCTCCCAGCAGAGATAAACTAGAGGCAAAACGGCTACAAAGATACATACTTCAGAAAAACAACATTTAGAGGCTCTAGCAGTCACATTCCTACATAATACTGGTTGAAATCTTGTTGATAATAAGTCACAAGTAGTGTATTCTCATTGAATCAGAAGAATCTAGAGAACAGCTGGCTCACCAAATTGCCATTGATTTAATGGGCCTACTCTGCTTTTGACTTACTGCACTGAGCGGCGGGATTTCTACCACTAACTCATGATTTACCCAGAAGTTTGTATGGCCCATGTTCTCTTCCCCCACCGTTGTGAGGAGATATAACCCAGAATTCACTTTTGCTTATCAGATTCCTAGCTGAATATTATATACAAGTAAGGAGTCATGGTTCAAAATGGTTTGCATGTAGAGAAACCTGAAGTGTGTTAGTGGCTTGATTGGGGTTAGGAGTTTATTTTAAACCAAAATTTGTAGCTCGTGCATAATGACAATCCAGGGATCTGTTGAAATAAACATGCATTGTAGTTTCCTCTTCCTCTGGGTTGTACAGGAAGAAGATAGAGAGCATGCATGTAGGCCTCTTTTTGTCCCCAAATATTACTGAACTATGATTTAACATTACCGTGTCAGCATAGCCATTGCTATGTGATTTCAATTAATAGTTATCAACTTCAGATGTCTGTGGTTCCTGCTTCTCCAAAAGATATTGTGGTTTCATTCTGATACTAAAATACCTCTAGTCCAAAATGTTTTGTGGTCAAAAAAGTTTGCCACAAGTATTCAGCATACTTACATGTTCAAAAATCTCAGTGGACTGCTCAGTATTTGTTGCAGCCTAATGGACTGTCAGTGGAACTCTTTTTTTTCTTTCTTCATCCAGAATACCAAGTTCGATCGATTGCTAGCCATGTGCGCCCTGAAAGACAGAGTGAGTGTTGGCTATGTTACCATAAGAATGCTTAGAATCTGTCTTTGTGTGGTTGGAATAAGTTTTTTTCTGGGTAAATATAGAGTTGTGTTTTCTTTGGGTATGAAGTTGAGTCTCAAAAACTATGTTTAATACCTTGTCCTTGGAAGAAGGAAAGGAGTATGTTAAATATTTTTGTCTGTTTTTTTACTGGTGAACCAAGCTCTGCCCTGCCTCTCCTTATTCTCCCACAGCCTGCTTTCCAATACACTTTTCCCAGACAATGTGCTGGAGCCTTGTTTGTATGTAGCCTGGCAAGCCACAGCTTCCTTGCCCTCCCGTACTGCCTCTGTAAATTTCTCTGCTGCATAGAAAATAGGGAGGTAGCAGCAGCTCTCTTGTACAGGAAGAACATAAGATGGGACAGCTGCCTGATGCTAGATCAGTCAGGTTAGCCTGCTTACTGGATAAGCAGACAGGCTTAGCTAATGTATCTTTCTGCATACCTGTATGTAATTATGTGTGAATATATATATAAACATGACAGAGGGTGAAATTTCATTGGGATATAGGAGAATCTATGGTAGAATCTGCCTGCCTAGCATAGCTTTGCCACCTAATTTAAAGTAAGGCATGCCTGATAAGCAGTGTTGGATAATGTTTCAGGCACAACTAAAAGAAAGAGGGTTTTTTTTAAAATTCCCCCCATCCTCCTGACCATCCTGGCTTTGGACCTTCTGGCAATTAAAATCCAGACTCTAGTTTCAAAAGAGTGTGTATAATCCTGTCAAATTAGAGCCATTGTTTGGCAATGCATCCGATGGATATATGAGCCTGTAACTGCCTGCTGATGTCCCTAAAAAGAAGATGTATCTGAATGTGTTTAGAATGTGCTGCATTTCTAGTGATTTTTGCATGTTTGGTTTTCATGATCATTGCTTCTAGACCACAGAGGATGTTGTGGCTTTTTTGTGTTTGCATACTGGTATCTGTCTCTGGGTAAATGAAATACCGCTTTTGTGGCTTAACAGCTCTCCTATTCAGTGCAACTTTCCGCAAGAAGATTGAGAAACTGGCCAGAGATATTCTCATTGACCCAATTCGAGTGGTACAGGGAGACATTGGAGAGGTAATATTGGATATTCTCCTATGGAAAACCATTGTTTGGACAGACTTGAGCAGAGAGGGAAGTTCTGGGTGTGCCTGCTCTGAGAGTTGTCCTCTTCCTTCACTCAGTTCTGGTCTCAAAGCAATTTGGTTTACCAGCATCCAGTTCATTTTGTCAATGTTGACTCCCTCTGTCTTCAACAGGCAAATGAAGATATCACTCAAATTGTGGAGATCTTCTCCTCTGGCCCCAACAAGTGGAACTGGCTGACCGGTCGCCTGGTGGAATTCACTTCTTCTGGTAGTGTTCTCCTGTTTGTCACCAAAAAGGCAAACGCAGAAGAACTGGCCAATAATCTCAAACAAGAGGGCCACGACCTGGGGCTGTTGCATGGTGACATGGACCAGAGTGAACGGAACAAAGTCATTTCAGATTTCAAGAAAGGGGTCTTCCCAGTTCTGGTTGCTACTGATGTGGCAGGTAGGAGCACCTGGCCAACTTTAAATTACTTTGGAGCCATTTCTTAAACTGCATCATTGAACCCCGTTGTCGCCCAAACAAGCTTTGGTCTCCCTTATGCTGGTTTTCATCCACTTTCCTGCATCTGTGGTAGCGTTGAAGGTGTTATATGCTGGGTAAACATGGATTCACCTGCACAACATATTAAAAGTAGTACCACCACCTAAGTAAAGAAACGGCAGTTGAACTAATTATATGAGTTTTAGGTGTCTAGTGTTTTTAACTCATAATAGTGAATGCCATCTTTTTGAAGAAAAAAGAACCTATATTTTATTCGAAGATATATACAGTGGTGCCTCGCATAACGAGGGCACCATTTAACGACGAATTTGCATAGCGATCCGTTTTTTGGGATCGCTAATGCGATCGCATACCGATGCTTTCTATGGCCGAAAATCGCTTTGCGATGATTGGTAAGTGTTTCGCTTACCGATTTTCGCATAGTGATTTTTTAAAAACAGCTGATTGGCAGTTCCAAAATGGCCGCAGGACGCCCAAAATGGCCGCACGCAGCGTTTTCGCGCCCTGCCCTCGCTTGCCGAGGGCGCGAAAATGGCGGCCAGATGGGGAAACCGCAGAACGGTGAGTTTTGGGCCCCATTGGAACGCATTAAACGAATGGGTTTTTCCGTTCCGTATAGCGATGTTTCCCCATAGCGATGGTTAATCCAGAACCATTGTACGCTGTAATAAGCATCAGGTTAGAAGGAAACTAGTATGAAAAAGATACAGAAGGCAATGCCTCTTTATTAAAGACAGTGCTTGCCACCATTCACTTCGTTAATGACTTGTATAGTAAGTAATCATTTGGATTCAGAGAGACCTGTTTGCTGGCAACTACTACAAAGACCCTTCTGCTGACAGAGGAGCCATTTCCCATTTAGCCCAAGATTGCACCGAAAGAAAAGTGACTATAACACATGTTTTTCCTCAAGACTCCATTATTAGCCCATTATATGTATAGTAGCTTGTGCTTTCTGTATTTAACATGCTTCTTACACCATAATGGAAGCAACAATAAATTACAGAATTGCTTGTAAGAATTCTTCCTCAAGCATGCACAGAACTCCACAGACTGGCTATAACGTATTTTCTCTTTCCACCTGCTTTTCTGTGGGTCAAATCCATTAATCTTTTCTTTCTAAAACAACTGTATGTGATATATTGACCACACCTTCTTGGTCATATTAAACATAGCCATAATTTAAATTGTTTGAAACTACCAAAGCTCTGTAATGAAGCAACATATTACAACAGTAGTAAAAAGAGCAGATTTGTGAGAGAATAGATCATGTGTTCTCAGAGATTCCCCTTAACTCCACACAGGTATATTTTCTTTAGGCTTCTGTACTCGAGACTATAACAAATTATTTTGAAACTGTATGAAGTTTTTTGAAAATCATGTTTGTATGTAGCCTTCCTTCAGTCTGAGATTTCTTAATTTGGAATAGTTCTAAGAAAATGGCTGTTGCGTCCAGGTTGTGCTTTGCCATCCAGAGATGAGGAAAATCCCCCCCCGGGGGGGGTGAGGTTAGCCTGGAGTATTCTGGAATCTGCAGTCCAAAAGAAAAATGTATTTTTCCCATTTTTATCCCCACCTAACTGGCTTAATTTTAAGTCCCATAAAATATTTCTCTATTATGCTCCTTTCCTTAGAGACAGCTGAAATCTGTATTAATTTACCCACAGCTCAGTGTATCCAAATGTATTTCTAGTCGAGGAAGAACGTAATTGTTTCTTCAGAGCTATAATATAAGCAGAGTACAGTACAAGTTTGTAATCTGTGTTGGCCTGTGTAGAAAGTGGGTGAGATAAAGCAATTGATTTCAAGTGTTAACCAAAGTTTTTTTTAAATGGTAGTGATGGAATCAAAAAGACTAACTTGAATAGACCAAGTTTGGTCCAGATTGGAAAGGGCTGATAACATACAAAATAAAATCTCAGCACAGGCATTTATAGCATGCAAGAGTTGTATGGAACCTGTCTTGACCCACAAACGTGTTGCTTCTAATATTCTTGTGTCTAGCTCGGGGTCTGGATATTCCTTCCATCAAGACTGTAATCAACTATGATGTGGCTCGTGATATTGACACCCACACCCACCGAATTGGTCGTACTGGCAGAGCAGGGGAGAAGGGTGTGGCCTACACATTATTGACCCACAAGGACAGCAACTTTGCTGGAGATCTTGTTCGGAATTTGGAAGGGGCCAATCAGCACGTATCAAAAGAACTCCTGGACTTAGCCATGCAGGTAACTTAGGCCAATGCTAAGAAGCTGCGCCATACTTTTCTTTCCATTAAATGCACATTGTGGATTGTGTGTATCCAACTAACCCACCTTGTGTTATATAAGGTAGAGGGATATAGTCATTCTAAAGCTTTTCATTTGAAATTTGACGTAGACATTGTTAAGAGCTTGGATCCATGATTTATCTGGATGTAGCTGGGGGATTCTGGGATTCATGGTCCAAAATTGCTTTTTTAAGCTTTGGATTTGTTGCTGCTGTCATGGCTTTGTTTTCCCTGCTTTAGGAAGGCAAGGGTCTAAGAAAGAAGGTCCAGGTATTAACTAGTATTGCCTAGTAGATAAGTAATGTATCTTTTAAGTCTGAGAGATCAGATTTCAGCTGTTTTCTCTGGGATTGACATTTTATATGTCCAGAACAAGTTGCTGTTGTTTATTTTTGCTTTTTTCATCTGTAAAATAGGAATAAGAATGAGCCACCTGCATAAATGATGTGGTGTGTAGTAAAGACTGGACTGATAAATGTTGCAATATAAATATTTTGGTGGAAATCTTTCAGTGTAGTCACTGCATATTCACAGAAGCAGCTTGAAACAAGGAGCAGTGTTTTTCCATAAATTCATGAATGTTTTCTCTCCATCATTATATATTTAAAATGGAATAGCTTTCCTGTTGTTATTTTTTTGTCCAGTGGGGTACAGTTATGACTCTTTCATTCTTCTCTGCTTGTCTGCATTATTTCTCAGCATTGCTTTTACATTTCTGGTCACAAGCAAGGCCCAGTAGTTCAAAGATCTTTGCTGTGCCAATTCGCAAATCACATTTTTGCGTACCATTCGGATTTAATAGTATGTGAATTTCAGAGCTACATTCTTCAGCAATTAGAAGTTTTGTTTATTTTTAACTGCATATTTAACTTGAATTTTTTATAACCATACATCTACAAACAGATTACATTATTACCTTGTCTGTGACATTTTTTGAAATCGTAGTACAGTGGTGCCTCGCACAGCGAGGTTAATCCGTTCGGGATTAACCCGCGCTGTGTGAAAAGCATCGTTGAACGGGGCAGGAAAAGTCATTGGAACGCATTAAACATGGTTTAATGCGTTCCAATTGGGCGGAATACTCACCGTTCAGCGATGCTTCCCTATGGCCGGCAGCCATTTTCGCACCCTCCCCTCGCTTAACGAGGGCGCAAAAACGCTGCGCGTTGCCATTTTGGGTCTTCCGGCGGCCATTTTGTAGCCGCGGAACAGCTGATCGGCGGGTCACAAAGCGAAGGTCGGTAAGCGAACCGCTTACCAACCTTCGCTCTGCAATTTTCGCCCATTGGGGCCGTCGCTCTGCGATCGCATTAGCGATCGAAAAAACGTCCCCGTAGAGCGAATTCATCACTCTACGGGGCGCTCGTTGTGCGAGGCACCACTGTACTGTATTGAAAATTATTGAGGTTTATGTGGAGTTAAGAACACAAATAAAACCTAGCATGAGGTAATCATCATACAAGCTAAAAATTAAAAACAGGGATTTGGGGCTTATTTATAAAGTTACCCATTCTGCAACAAAGACTAACTTGTGGGCTACAGCTGGTCCACAAGAGTAGTTGAACCAAGCTTCAACAAGGTGCTTGCATAGTTATTGTTCTCACACTCTCTTTTCTCCTATTCTCAGAATGCCTGGTTCCGGAAATCACGTTTCAAGGGAGGAAAGGGCAAGAAACTAAACATTGGTGGCGGTGGCCTGGGGTACCGTGAACGTCCTGGACTTGGATCAGAGAGTTCGGTAAGCCTGAGAGTCAGATGCATACTGACAAATACAGCTGTGGGCCTGTCTGTTCAAAAGTCCCGTGGACCTCCATGAGGTTTAGTGTCATTTAAATGTTTATAATATTGGAGCAGTGCTAACCACCAACATCTTTATGTCACAGGACCGTGGCAGTAACAATGTAATGGTTAACTATGAGGCCTATAAGCCATCTTCAGGAGCAATGGGAGACCGGTTGTCTGCCATGAAGGCAGCATTCCAGGTTGGTACAATAAACTGCTACACATGATTTCTGCCACTTTGCCACCAGGTCCACTGCCTGAATCCAGCCATGACATTCAGGCCTCTTCATTTATTCCAGAACCTAGAAAGGAAAATCCTTCAAGACAAAACCAGACCTTAACAGAGGGCTTGAAGCAGGACTGGGAATTGTGTCCCCCTCCCCGTACATGCTCAGCTTGATTCACTTGTCCACATATTTGAGGAGGTGTTGTGAGCCCTGTCTTATAGTCACACACATCCTAATCTAGTTCAAAACTTAAAATTTTCTCATTAAACCTTGGCAGGAAAGGCATTGGTTGCCAGCAACTAGGCTACATCAATGTGGCATTCAGCCTCCAGCTGCAATCTACAAACCGAATTTTTCTTGTGTCTAGCTCAACTTACTCAAGGAACAGGGTGTAGCCATTGATATCTGTCTACCATTTTATTTTATGTTGTTCCTCGTGTTTCACAAATTAGCCCCTGACCAAACAAGTAGACATCACAGATCAAAAGATGTTCTTCTGCCAAATGTAGCAAGGGATTGTCTAGTAAAATGAGCCGGATAGCATTGCAGCAAGTAAGCAAAGCCACTGATTACAGTAGAAAGCCAAAAGAGGGTGAATTATGTTGTTTTACTAGGCTATCCTAGGAGATGTTTCTTCCCTGTAATTAAAATGGCAGTTCAGGTACCCTTGAAATCTCTGGTCAGTACATTACAATGCAAGCCTTACACCTGCCAATACAGTGTCCAGTATTTCTGAAAAAGGGCTTCACATTTTCTTTGCGATTTCCTGTGATAATAGCCATGGTTACAGCTTTTCTTTTTCTCTCTCTTGTAGTCCCAGTATAAGAGCCATTTTGTAGCTGCCAGCTTTAGCAACCAGAAGACAGGCAGCTCCTCAGCAGGGGCCAGCGGCTGGACCAGTGCCGGCAGCTTAAACTCGGTGCCAACAAATTCAGCCCAGCAGAACTTGGCAAACCCCGACAGTCCCATGAGCACTACAGGCATAGCGAAGGGCATCCCAGGTTTCACGAGTGCTGGAAACTTAAACAGCATCCCCAGCTTTCCAAGCTCTGGAATTCAAGGATTCAACAACATGAATGCCAGCAACAGCACTAATAGAGGAGAAGGCAGCACAGGGAGCAGAGAACGGTACAGTGACAACCGCAGTAGCAGTCGCCACAGTGACAGCCAGCGCCATGGAGATGGTGGCAGTCGCCACGGTGATGGTCAGCGACATGGGGAAGGCTATCGCCATGGTGAAAACCGCCACGGCGGGGACAACCACCGTCACGGTGAAAGCCGGCATTCTGGTGGTGGGAATAGCAGCAGTAGCCGCCATGGTGACAACCGGAATAATGGGGACAGCAACGAGAGCAGAAACAGTGAAGCTCGGAACAGCGAGAGCAAGAAAGAGGGCAACAATAGCAAGACTGATGGCTTTGCTGTTCCTGAACCCCCAAAGCGCAAGAAGAGCCGATGGGACAGCTAAGGATCCTGGCTACTGACCCAAGTGTCAAGGTGCCTCTGTTTCTCTTTCTCTAATGAGGGTCTCTCTACTAATACATGGCTACCAAGAAGGAGAATAGTGGACAGCAGCCACCCCCAACCAAGCCCTGGTTGGCGCATTTGCCGACAGCTTCACTTTAGCGGCACCTCAGTGTTGTGCTTTGATCAAAAGGAAAGTGTTCCCTTTTGTGGCATTTCTCTATGCTCTGACTTTTTTTAAAAAAAAACCTGTCCACTCTGAGGGACTTCAAAAGAGTGAACTTTCTGAGTAAGAGCAAAACATTTTTGTGTGTGATTTGTTTGTTTTTAGCAGAATGTTCCAGAAAAGGGCCTCTAACGGGTAGGTTTTTTTTCATTCAAATCAGTGTGGATGTGATATAAACTAGCCCTTGTTGACCTGCCTGCCTCATCTGACCTCTCTCTCTCTCTCTCTCTCTTCTCTCTCTCTCTCTCTCTCTCTCTCTCTCTTTTCATTACCCCATCAGCACCATGGTTCTGTGCAGAGACATATAATTTATACAAATAGGGATATGCATAGGTTCATAAAAGAACTGGTTAGCCAGAGCTGGGTGGCTAGCATGAGCAATAGATGGAGGAAGAGTTGTGTTTCCTGAGGCAGACACTGTAGACAGCTGCCCAGAACTGAATAACCCATCTAGTAAGAGCCCTGGGCCCACCCCATCAGCACCATGGTTCTGTGCAGAGACATATAATTTATACAAATAGGGATATGCATAGGTTCATAAAAGAACTGGTTAGCCAGAGCTGGGTGGCTAGCATGAGCAATAGATGGAGGAAGAGTTGTGTTTCCTGAGGCAGACACTGTAGACAGCTGCCCAGAACTGAATAACCCATCTAGTAAGAGCCCTGGGCCCTGCACAGAAAAAGTAGTATTTTGTTATAGTGTATGTCAGTTCTAGTAATCTATTTACACTTTTCACTGGGCATCAAGCTTAAATCTCTCTTGTGTTTGGATTTGTCAACACTTGTTCAGGCTCTGTTCTTCTGCCTTTTTTGGTCAGTTGTCCATGGGCAGGGCAGACAGATGTCCAGATCCTTTCCTGGTAGCTCACACAGAGATTCTGTTCCTCGTTTTGGGAGGGAGACACAGGTAGCACCAGCAAAAAGTCTCCTTTACTTCGCATGATAGCATCCATTAATGGTGTGATACATTTGTGGGGACAGAATGGCAAACGCCTCTGTACTAATCAGCATTTTTAACACAATATGCTACCTTGTGTGCTTTCACTACCTCTGTGCAGGAGCAACGAGTGCAATGTGAAAACTGCTTAGCAGAGGCCTCTGTCTGCTTAAATGGAAACCTTTCTGTTTCCAGAGATTATCCTGTTTCTACTTGTATTAGTTCTTTAATATGTATGTATAGGGCATTTGACTGCATTAAAAAGGATGTGGTGGCATGGAGCATAAAAGGACAGACCATGCAGCTGTTGGGATATCTCTCCCATAGGGCTCCCTAGGAGGCAAGTAACATTAAAATATGTTCTCACAACATCTGTTTCCCTGGATTTTTTAAAATGATTATTTTGTGAATGTTTTCCAAGTTACTCTACCCATCTCCCCGAGTTATAAGAGAATTACGAGGAGACATTTTGTATATAGTATCAAGTTATTTTGATTTGATGGCTGACCAAGGAGGTTTCAAACTTGGTACATTTGGGACTGCATGTTCAAAAAGTGCATGTGTGTGCAGAGATGCTAAAAAAGGACCTGTATAAACAGCATGCTACTCTTTCCATATGGCCTGTTGCAAACACTTTTGGAAAGAAGTAGCATATGTAAAAATATTTTTGATTTTTTTTTTAATCATTGTGTGTTCTTGGGCTTTTTAATCTGATTATTTTTCCTTTTGTCAGAGTGGTAGAAAAACTTCGTTTGCTGAAGATAGTTCTCTTTTTGCTTTTCATTTTTATGATGAAATATCTGAAGCTGTATCAGGACCCTGTGACATGTCATTCCCTTTGCTTTCCACTCTCTTCTATTAAATGTTTTATTACTAGGACAATTGCCTGAGGTGCGCCTGTTTGTTGTGGCCTCTCCCCACCTCCAGTCTTTCATTCATAAGTGGGTTTTGTGGATGCAAAAGATCTGATTGTGCTAATTGATTTCAGGAAAGACACCCTACTAAGGGAGGGGGGAACCCTCAAACTTACTTCTTTAAAGATGTAGCAGATGGCAAGAGAGAGCCAATACATAAGCTGTGGTGGCTAGAAGGTCAGACTAAGAGACCTGGGTTGGAATCCTCATTCAGCCAAGGGAATGAATGCACCAGGGGATGGAACGGCAGCCCACCACTTCTTGAACACCTCATCTCTTGAAACCCCTTAGCATTGCCAGAAGCCAATAGCAATTTTTATTTATTCATTTGTTCGTTTATTTAAAATATTTTTAACTTGCTTTTCTGCTTTAAAAGAATCCAAGGCGGCTTACAACAATTAAAAGACAGTATTTAAGATTGGTAACAATGAGTATACAATACTAAAAGGATCAGTAAATACAGTACCAAAAAAAACATAAGCAACACCAAAACACATTCAATGCAATAAGGTGCAACAATCCATTTTTAAAACCCCCACTTGGCAGCCGTTCATTCAGGGAAAGCTTTCCTGAAGAGACCAAGAGAGAAGTGAAGGAAACAGTATCAGCTAGAAATGCTCTGCCCATGTGTAATCATGTTTTTTCTTTCTCCTACTCTCTAAGAAAAATCAGAATCTACCCATGCTTTATAGCAACTTTAAGGTAAGATACATACATACATTTAAACCCCCCAAAGTATTCCATGAAACAATAGAATTAGCACTATTATATCATTTTTAAGGTCTGACAGTGGTACCTTCTTAATGGAGAAAGAAAACCCAAGTGAATAAACAATAAGCACGAACTACCACTTATTGTTAGGAACACCACAAATCGCATTTTGTTCCTTATGGCAGTAATATGCTATAATTATAGCAGCCTTCAGAAATAAATGCCATTCCAGAAATGACTACTGATCAGTCCCAATTTAAAAGTATTAGTTGATGAAACAGCTCATCTAATTGTGCAGCCCTAAAGTACACTTTCGGGTTCTCATTTTACACAAATGAAAGGTAACAGACTGGGAGTCCTGTACTAGTAATTCTACATGAGTGAAAGAACAATCTCATTATTTCTTCATTGCTTCTGTGAAGGCTGAAATTGGTAGAAGTGAGGAGGAAAAGTAGATGTATCCAGTTAGATTAGAACTTTTGTGAAGAAATAGCATGTGCTGTATGAGCCAAATAAGCTAGCACAGGGCAGTGTAGCTAAGTTCTCTGAGCATTTTTCTGTATCAGCACGAAATTTAACTTGCAGTAGACTGGTCTATAGCTAATGCTGTGGATCTTTCACACTGATGTGGATAACTTCCTAATCGCTAGAGTAGTGATGGCGAATCTTTTTGAGCCCCAAGTGCCCAAACTGGAGGGGGGAACCCAGTGGGTGGCAGCAGAACCAGAAGTGGTAGCGGAAGGGAGAAATCCCAGGCATGGAGGTGCCTTGAGACCCCACTCTGGATCCGCCGCCAGCACCAGCTGCTCTGGATCCTGGCCCACAGCCTGTCGAAGTGCCAGCACCATGGCTGCAGCCACCACCTCAGGTTTGGCTGCCGGGATGGGGGGGAGTAGCAATACAGCAACTTATGGCTGACATGCCCGCAGAGAGGGCTCTGTGTGCCAGAAATGCCCGCAGAGAGGGCTCTGTGTGACAGCTGTTGTTGCACGTGTGCCATAGGTTCACCATCACTGGCTAGAGCAATAACTAGCACAGGTTTGAATTACAATTCATTTGTTTATTTGCAAATCTGATTTATATCTGATTTTGGTACTCTGATCATTGCACTTCCTTGCGTTCTCTTCTTTTACAGCATGGTCTCTAGCTCCTTTTGCAAACTAGAGTGGTTTCTTTCTAGGTCTGGAGAGTCCTCCCAAACCATGATGTTCTCTGTAAGAGCCTTCTGTGTCATTTCTTGGCTTGGAGATCTATCCAGGGTGAAGGCAGCAGTCCTGTATTCTGACACGAGGGCACTGGGGGTAAAATGGAGCAGCCAGTTTTTGGCTCCCAGAGGCATTGCCACAGCTGCTGCTGAGGCTGCCCCCCAGCTGGCCATACTCAGGCTGACACTGTTGGTGGCATGGGATATGAGCCCTCCATAGTAGCAGCTTCCTCCTGTGCTAGTGACTCTGGTTTTCTGCTTTATGTCTAGGACCAGATTTCTCCGGAAACGAGCTTTCTTAATTTCTGCCTGCACCTGAAGATAAGAGGCAAATTATCAGTGGAATGCAACTTTAACAAGAACATCACCCCCTCCATATTTATCCTTAGCCCCCCTAGGAGTTGCAGCAGTTTACACCTTGTAAACCAATTCAATTGAAAACCAATTCAATAGTGCCCAGTGCTTCTCTCCCTTGACACTTCCTCCTTCCACACTTGCCGTAATACTTTATCTATTTTCACTCCAGTTAGAAAGTACTCCCACTTCTAATGACTAATAAGAACAGGAGAGTATTAAGGTAGGATGCTAACCTGCACCCTTGGGCTGCATTCAGGATCGCAGTCAAATGAGTGTCCATGTTCCAGTGACAGTAAATATAAGCAAGGGGAAAATCAGCCAAAACATTGTATGGGTGCAGGGAAAGGCATACATTATTTGCAATATGTATGCTATTTACAATAATTTTTCTGGACTACAGTTCCCACTGACCGCTCTCTGGGAGCTATAATTCATAAAGTAACTTTTCCAAGGTTCAATTTTCAGCATGTCCACTTCAAAAGGGGGAGGGATACTAGGGCCTCTGAACTGGTCTATTTTTTTCAAAATACTGATTTTATATGAATACACAAACGTTACCTTGAAGGAAGCGTTTCTTACCTCGCCATTGCAAAAGCAGTAAATTAAAGCCACAAAGAAACCCTGTCCAGAGAAACACAACCGAAGATGAAAAATGGTTACGACTGAGCAAATCAAAAACACCCCCTGACATCAACGCCAAGACTCACCTGTAAAGAATTGAAGAGCATCTCATAATGCATCTGTATTTGCCAGAGCACACTGGAGACAGCTGTGTAAGGCATGGCCACGAACACCACATAATGGACACCAAAGAGGGGCATCAAAACCAAGGTGGACCTCAAGAGCTTTCTGAAAAGAAAAGCCCAATGTGGTGTAGTAGATAGAGTGAGAGATCAGAACTCAGCATACCGAGGCTCAAATCCCTGCTTGGCCACAGAAACTGGGGGAGTAGGATGTGTGGCTCTGATAAAAACAACTTCATAAATATCACACCTTGAAAGACCCATCAGGGTCACCATAAATTGGTTTCCACTTGACAGTTCATAACCCATGCACTAAAACAGCATCTTCTGGTTGTCTGAGACATGAGCATCCATTCAACTTCAGCTTTCCTGATGTTTTAGGTATCAGATCCCACAACACCCACCCAGTGTGGCCAAGGATCATTGAATCTAGAACTTAAGATCACAAAGCATCTGGAGGGCCAAAGATAAAGAGCTACTTGTGCGAAAGAGCTGAAGTGACAACCCATGCCATAAAAGTGAGTAAGGGGAAGGTATGATGGATCTTTAAGAAAATGAGAAGATTCAAACGGACTGTAATTGACGGCTAAGTAGTCAAGCACAGGCTTTGCATGTAGAGTTTCTATGCCATGATAGCAAGAAATGATGGGAGTTGTAATCAACACCCATGGAGGGTACCCTACTGGGGAAAGCTGGTGTAGACTGTCTTTAGCTAGACAGGCAGGTGATCTGATTCCATGTCATGATCCTTTTTTATTGCTAGGCTGGGCACTATCATGGCTCAACACTGAGAGGTGTGATGTCATCACCACAAGAGACTTCCAACTCCATCAAGGAAGAGAAAATACAATGGAACAAAAATCAAGTCAAAGTAGTGTGTAGACCAGTGGTTCCCAACCTTGGGTTCCCAGATATTGCTGGACTACAGTTCCCAGCAGCCACAGGCATTGGCCATGCTGCTTAGTCTTGTGCAAGGGGGAGAGCTGCAGTCCAGTAATATATGTTTAGGCAGTGAGCAGTTACCATTGCATCCAAGCACTCTCCACATTTCAATGAGACGAAAGCATAATTGATAGTAGTAGTATAAAAAGGAAGGTTTACCTCAGCCGACCCAAACCATGTACCTGTACTGCTGGTGCGGATCCAGCTTCCCTGCATTTGTTTCCCAGAGCTTTGATGCCAGGACTCTCACAATGTTGAGGAAAAGAAAGAAGTTCACCTGTCCAGCAATACAAATATCCTAAGCCAATGAAAACAATGTTGTTCCAGTCCTCATTTGATTAAAGAAAGTATCTACTTTTATAACAGATTTTTTTAAATAATAGAAAAGCATAAAGTAACAATTAGGAAACATGTTTGTTGGATCTGCACATACAACTGCTACAAGGACTGTTCTCCATTTTGAAGAGGCTTATTCAAGGAGCTATCCAAGAATTTTGTTAAGCTTGGTTCTTTCTAAAGGGCTGATCTCTATTTGCACTACAGCAAATGACAAACTTGGTGGTATGGTCCTGCAGAGCATAATGCTCTACTCAGAGCAACAGGATTCTGTCTACAGTAATCACATTAAATATATACAGATATGACTGAAGTCCTGTTGCATTTGATATAGCATAATGTTTCCAGGGAGTCCCACTCAGATGGTCTGCATTGCATCTTTGATTGCGCAACTGATTGCACAACTAACTGCACAACTGTGCCTGTGGAACTGCTTGCTAGATATGACTTCCATTTTAGCATTTTTACAACAGTGTGTGCAGCTTCAAGTTACATAGGCATAGCTACACAGGATTTTGGCCATCTACAGAAAGCCTCTCCTGACTCAACAACTGAGAACATGATTCCCTCTAGAAACAGAAAAATGCTTTATGCATTCCCCCAACTTTGGAAAGAAATGGGGCTAAGCAAACTTCCTGCAGCGAGGGAGCCCTAGGGAATTAATGAAAAAGGCCCTGCTTCTTAGTGTTGCATTTGTTTGCTCTTCTTACCAGAATTGCTGCTAAGATAGGGACTTGGTAGATCCATTTCATGCTTCCAGCACTAAGATCCCAGCACCTGATGAAGAGAGGCTACAATCAGCCAAAACACATCCATTCGACCAGCGCCCTTCGCCCATTACCTTTGAGACTCGCTTCCCAGGTCCCTAGTCCTTTTCCCACTTCATGACAGCTGTAGGAGACAGGAGTTGGTCAATTCTGCATATCTAGCCTCTGGGGCATTATAAGTATCCCAACCTTACTGACTGCAACCTTTTCATGGGGTGTCCTAACATTTTGTAACCTTAAGAAGTGGGTGAAACGTTGACCTCCAAATATTGCAAACAAATCTCCCAGAAACTCCCACTAGCATATGGAATCGTAAGAAATTCTGAATCTATAGTCCATACCACCTGGAAAAGCAAAGTGTCTGCACTCCTGCTTTACAATAACCCTGTCCGGTAGAAGGCAAAAACACTGCGGCACCTTAAAGACTAACTGCTTTATTTCAATGGGAGCTTTCATGGACAATGACTCCACTTTCTCAGGCATGAGGAAGTCTTGCATGAAGTCTGAGGAAGTGGACTTGTCCACGAAAGCGCACATTGAAATATAGCAGTTAGTCTTTAAGGTGCCACAATGTTTTTGTCTTCTCTATTTATTTATTTTCTTTTCTTTTTGGCCTGAAATGCTAGCACAGAATAATACAGCTACCTCATCTATAACTGTAAGGTGGGTTAGTGCTCTTACCTCAATATTGCAGATCTGCAACTGAGAGAGAAGGACTTGCTGAAGGTATTTTGTGAATCCATGCCAGAGGCAAGCAAGGCTCCAGCACAATCCCAATCCATAGTGTCAGTTCTCAGCCATGCCACCTACAAACTCCTCAGTGAAAACCTCTCACTTCAACATATTTTGCAGGGAGGGGGTTCCAGTTGTTCTTAGCCTCTGGCCTCCCAGATATTCTCCACTTCAACACTCAAAAATCCCAGGCAACATGGCCAGCAGACAACAATTCTGACCCTGTAAGTCCAAAATATCAGAAGGGCCAAAGGCTGAGAATCGGTCGCCCCAATCGGGCTTTGGGTTGGTATTAAAATAACCTCTTGTTCTTAACAGAATGTGCAGCTTCTTCAGCACACATTTAGCCACCGCCTGGATTATGGGGTGAGGACAGAAATTGTTATCTTAGTCACTGGTGGTTTAAATGGGTATTTTTTTCACCCATAATTTTTATAACTGAGTAAATTCGATACCCGCTGAAGCCTCTGTGCTGCAAGGTCAGAAGACCTGCAGTCAGAAGATTGAATCCACGCGACGGAGTGACCCCCTGTTGCTTGTCCCAGCTCCCACCAACCTAGCGGTTCGAAAGCATGCAAAATGCACCAAAGCAAGTAGATAAATAGGGACCACCTCGGTGGGAAGGTAAACGGCGTTCCGTGTCTAGTCACGTTGGCCACATGACCACGGAGGATTGTCTGCGGACAAAACGCTAGCTCTATGGGTTGGAAACAGAGATGAGCACCGCTGCCTAGAGTCGGACACGACTGGACAAATTGTCAAGGGGAACCTTTACCTTAGGAAGTAACAGAGCCAACAAATTCATTTACCCTCTTCTGACTAAGGTATCCCTGCCAGTTCACAGTTTGGTTCTGAATCTTTGAAAACAGTGTTTAAGAGAAGTAAAGAAACTACGTACTGTGTATCAGCCAGAGATGCTCTGACGCTGGCCCAGGCAGAGACAAAGACAGCAGGTACCCCTCAAAGTAAGAAGAAAAACAAAAGCAAGCAGAAAGATGCCTTGGTTTCCACAGAGGTCTTAATTGGTCAGGAGGAGGAAAATGCATCAGGCCAGCTCTGGGCATTGATTTAATAGGTCTTCTTTCCCCCACCCGCCATTTTGGGGAAGAAGTGAGGGAAGAGAGGCAATCAAATATGGGAGGGGGGTGAGAGTTGGTGTGGTAATAAACCACCTAGAGTGGCCTTGTAGCCAGATGGGCAGTATAGAAGTTGAGTGAGTGAGTGAATGAATAAGAGACAGAGGGTTTTCATCTTCAAAGCTGACCCTGACCAATCTCTCAGCACCTCCACAAAGTGGCTTTCACACTTCAAGCTCCAAGCCCTATTTGTGGATCTCTTTGTGAGATGAGACCGGGAGGAACTGATCTGTGCTTACCCCATCCAATGAGCGTAAGGGCCCATAAGTAGCTTTTGTTTGAGAGGAAAGCCATGAAGATCAAGCTGTGGAGATAGAGGCCTTCCACCAAGATCCAGTAATGGTTGGTAGCCAAGAAGTAGAGGAAGATGGTTACGGCGACCTTACAGCCTGCCTAAGGGGGTGGAGAACTGCATTAAGTGCCTCTTAGACAAACCAGGGCCAGAACAGAGTTTGTGGATGCCTTGTGGTACAGTTTGAGCATCAACTGTTTGGGGAAAGAGCAAAGCTTGAAAAGTAATGTGGTTCTTTTTTGTTTCTTTCTGTTATTTCTTATTTTAAAAAGTCACAGTTTCCCAACAATCATTCTAGTGTTCCAAATGTAACCCACTATCATTACAATGCTAAAAACATAATGGGTTGCATCGTTTCCATTATGTGCTTCTTTTTTGTTTCTTTCTGTTATTTCTTACAAAGGCCTGCAAAAGAGTATAAAACTTTTAAAATGTTTGTCTCAGAACCCCTAAAATGCCTTTAAGTTACAGTACTTTTAAAAAACATGCTTAAACTAGAAGTTTCAAAATGTTTGTCTCAGAACTCCTAAAATGCCTTTAAGTTACTTTTAAAAAACATGCTTAAACTAGAAGATACTACTAAGTTTTCTGGTGTAGTGGTTAAATTGCAGTAATACAGTCAATGCTAACAATCTGAATTTGATCCTGATGGTAGCTGGCTCAAGATTGACTCAGCCTTCCATACTTCCACGGTTGGTAAAATGAATACCCAGCTCATTGGGGGGAGGGGGGAGGCAAGTTGTTGTACGCATAGTTATGTTGTAAACCACCCAGAGAGTGCTTTAGCACTATGAGGTGATACGTAACTTGAAACAACAACAACAAATGGCATAACTGACCAAGTGTCTCCTAGGTCCCAAAGAGAGGCTCAGCTCTTCAGCATCCCAGTGGCCATATTGTGTTTTCGGCAGCCCTTCTGACCATGTGGTGGAATACAGTACAATATCCTTCACGAAGATGCTCACAGCTCGACAGATGAAAGAGGCAAACAGGTGGATGTGGATGTAATTCCGAGTGCAGTGAAGCCGCCTGGAACACAGGTCACCCGTGCAGGATTTAGTTAAATTGTCATTTACACTTTTATTTCACCCTTCCTCTAAGATGAAATGCATGGTTCCCTGACTGGTTTCTCCCCACAAAACCCTATGAGGTAGGTTAAGCAGAACAAGACTGAGATTCATGGCTGAGTCAGGAATCGCCCCAGTTGTAACCTGAACCCCCAGCTGCTAAACTGGATTGGCAAAGAGCAGAGGCAGGTAATACCCAGGCTACTGTACAGACCGTTCACATCCACATATCCCACCTCTAGGGACATCCTAATCACAAGGCAGGGCAAGATGGCTACCTCAGACATCAGATCTGACATGCCTTGAAAAGGCAGCAAACTGTATTGTCTATGTCATTATCCTCATAACTGCAGAGCTGGAAAGGACAGTATAGATCACGGAACTTAAAAAACATAACTGGCTTTAGGTATCCTTTATCTCAACACAGGGGTGAGGTAGTACCCTCTGCTATTCTGCCTCAGGCAACCTTTGTGGACATTGTCTGCATTACAGGAATCCATATTTGGTTGAAGATCCACCCTGTGGGAGGTACGCTGCCTAATCTGGACATATCTACAGGAAAAATGCAATTTATATGCAGTATATTACACGAATAGCCATCTAGATAAAGGTGGGAAACCTGTGGCTCTCTAAAGGCTGCTGAACTTTAGTTGCCATCAGCCCTAGGCAGAATAGCCAGCCAGTAGGGAAGGCTGATGTGAGTTAAAGTCTACCAATATCCGGAGGGCCATTTCTGCGCCACAGACCAGAAAAAAAATTTTTTTTTCAGACTGGAACTGCCACAATCCCACAGGCAACATAGATTGGTCATGCTGCCCATGAAATTCTGGGAGTTGTAGTCCAAAAGGGTCCTCCTCATTTCTGCTCTTCAATAATTCTAACAGATATCTCCCTGTACACATACTTTGCCAGTTGTGAAGATTTAATTTAATTTAAGAGTATCAATTTTTATTTTTACTCATCAGTGTAACTGGTCCTAAACAATTGCAATTTGTCCTGTAAAGCAGCCATTCCCAACGGGAGCCATACGGCCCCATGGGCTCCCCTGGCACATTTGATTAGAGCCACAGACAGGAAAAAGTTATTCACACACCACTTTCTAAGGTTTGTTATGTGACTTACACAATCCTGATCCGGCCTATATTTCTTTCACATTGTGTTTATGACCCCCTAAAAAGGTTGAGAATGATTGCTGTAAACAGGTGCTATCTCTTGAGTATCTTTTCTTATCAGTCAGCCCTGCGGGTTGGAGATCAGGAAGCTAAATGGACCAAGTGGGGCTTCCAGACATGTTTTGGGTCCTGCTTTGTGTGTGTTTTGACCTATGGCCTATTGCTAGGCGGTAGGGATCAGGCAATAGGTTAGAGCGGCAAGGAAAGCAAACGCAAGACAATCGCGCCTTACTTGAAGTAGCAAAGGATGCACATGGCAACCACAAGAGAGGCCAGGGAGATGGAGTAGCCCACTGTGTAGATGATGTGCAGGCGGTCAAACACCACCTAGATCAGGGAGAAGAAAGAAATCCCTATAAAATTTGGTGTCATCATCCTAACTCATTACATCAGGCCACAGACCCTATCTAGATCACTATCCCGTTCCCACACAGAGCACCCTCTCATCTCACCAACTTTAGTGACTCTCCAAAGACTGGAAATGAGTCAGCCTCTTCCCCAAACTCCCTACTGGACCATGAATTGCTAAACTGCTCACAGAGATTGGAAATTTTACTTTTTTGGATCTCGACTCTCAAAAACCAGCAAAAATAACTGCCACAAACTCTCTCAATCCCACCAGTCTCTGTTTTTTTTTCTTCCCCTGTTAATAATGTTAAGATGTTTCACCTTCTCTTGGATGTGCCGCTCCGGGGCAAAAAATATGGCACACTCTGTGTAATTTGCCCAAGTCTTGTTCATATTGGGCACTAACTGCCAGTTCCCATAAGCATCACAGTACCTGTAGGCATGACCTGAAACAAAGGACCAATAGAGTTCGACAAGATAAAACAGACCAGCGGGAGCAGGCGAGGGGCCAGAATGCCATAAAGCTCAACATTAGCACCTTTTGAAAGTTCAGCAGCCCTAGAATGTATTAATAATGGGGAAATATACGAAAAACTAAATTGTCTTTTTCTGACCAATAATCCTATTGTGACTTTTAGTGCAGTCCAGCCTGAGAACACCTGCCTCTTAACAGCAGTGTAAAAATGCCTAAATAGATGTTTTAGAATAACTCACTTCAGAAGCATAATTTTCCTTAGAATTTGAGTACAAAAGAAGAGGGTTAAATAATTATAATAACCTTAGAATTGCAGAGCTGGACGGAAGAAGAGGGTTAAATAACAATAATAACCTTAGAATTGCAGAGCTGGACGGAACCCTATGGATCATCCAGTCCAGTCCTGACAAGGAGGCATAGTGGAGAACTGAACTCCTACAGTCCTGTCAAGGAACTGAACTCCTAACCAGATGCCTAAACCACTGATCTGTCCCCATCCATGCCAGCTGGAATATCAATTAATTATCCCTTTACCTCTCAGCTTGTGCTATCTGAATCTTTTTTTGAAAAAAAAAACTTGCATATTAATTCACAAAGGTGCTTTAAAAACCAATGTTTTTTGATTGAGGAATCAAAGTGTACAGAACTAAAGCAGGGTACCTACCATTATGGTTAAAGTCATAGACATAGTCTGGACACGATACTGCCACATTTTCATCGGGAAAACTCTCAGGCCAGCAAATAATTCCATCCCACTCAGGAACACAGTGTCCATCTAGCAAGCAAATGCCACATGTTAGCCCTTGACAGAGTAAGAAGGAGACAAGGGTATTTAAACGTAGATACAGACGAGAGATCGTGGGTCTCCTTTCTCTTGTATAGCTGTTAGTCATATGTCCTACTTTACCAACAACTACTGGAAGGCCTGTCACACGAGAGTCCTCTGTTTGAGCAGCTTCCCAGTTCAAATTCAGTTTAAAAACCAAGAGCCTTGCCAAGGAAGAATGGGATCCTTGAAGTTGCCTATCAATAATTATGACCTGCAAACAGCTCAAGCACCCAGCTCACATAGTTTGCAGTTGTCTCGAGTGAAGTATGATGCTTGGGGTTTGCAGTTGTCTCGAGTGAAGTATGATGCTTGGATTCTATTTACATTATTACCCAAAGGGGAAACCATCTAAGTCTGTAGTCTATTGCAGCAGACCAACAAAAAAGTCTTGTGACGTCTTAAAGATTAACCAGCTGATACGACCAAAGCTTTCACGGACTATAGCCCACTCTTTCAGATGCTGCATCTGATGCAATAGAAATTAGAGTAATTGTTTCCAGATTTGCATCTATAAATCTGAATTAGCACACACAAATGTATCTTTATTCTCTTTTATCTTTTTTTTTTTTGAGTGCAGTGCGATAGCATATAGAAGTCTACTTGGTGATGATGTTGGTTAGCATGCTTTTATTAATGCGCCTGCTAACAATGCCAGGTGTCAGGTCTCTTTATCCCTAACTTTTCTTGGCTTTAGCCTTTTTCTTATATGCTGGAGCAAGGAATAAAATATCATAGCAAGGACACACAGCTAAGAGGACACATCTTTTGACTTGAGATATTTTGTAACGGGCTATCCCTCTTCTCTCCATGTTTAAAACAGACACACTAGCATAATTACACGTGTACTAATACACATATGTACATAAAGTAATCTGCAGTTAGTTTTGTGCCATCAAGTCAGAACAAACTTATAGCAACTCTAATAGGGTTTTTAAAGTAAGTGCATTATTTAAGGAGTGGCTTTACCAGTTTTAGTCCAAGAACATCCGGGAAACCAAGGTTGGGAATCGCTGCTTTAGAGCAAACCCTGAAATTTCAATGTGATTCATTTCTTGTGGAACACAGCTTGCTGGTTTTTAGCACAATGTCATAAGAAACTAGATATATTGATGTGTCCTAAGAATACGATAACAATAATAAATGGCAATGATGCCTACAACAAGAGCAATGTTATTTTAATAGCAAAATATAAATACACAGACATCTCAGCCGATCCGGGTCATCTTTCTTCTTCCAGTAGGGGACAGTGTTTAATAAGTCCCACACTTGCCTTAGAGAGCTTCAGTGTCAACAACAACATGCCTCAATATTTGACAGAAAGATGAATCTTTTATTTAAAAAAAAAACTAACAAAAATGAGTGAAAGAGAAAAAGCAGGTACCTTGGATTCTTTCCTTCCGGGCATTTGCATTTATCTGTTTGTGACATTTTGCTTTAGCTTCATTCAGCAAATAAATCTGTTCTTCCTTGGTGAGAACATCATCTGTGTCCACCTGCCGAGCAGAAGAAAGGGATGATGAAACAACGGAAGTGCCCATGGTCATCTGCTTGTCTGGGATCAACTGCTCTTTGGCTCCTCCCCTCCTAAAACGGACCCCATCAGTTGCCATTTCGCCTGGCTGCATCAGAGGGTGAATACAGCCAACTGTCTTCATAAGCTTGAGTGGAACCTGCTACCACTGGAATGATTCTCTCCTACAATGGTATCATGCAATGGCCACACTACATGAGTTTGTTAGTGTTCCTCTTCCCTCCCTGTGCCTTTTCCTCTTCACATCTCTTCTATCAAAGTTCAAACCACTGTTTTGCACTATGAACAGCCCAGAATGCACTAACAGACAACCAAGGCAAGGTAGTAAATGCATATTAATGTATTCATATATTCATGCATTGATACTAATATGTATTTGTACATTAATACACCATCCACAATGTTTGTAGAATGGATGATACAAAACCACACAACCTTCCTTGACCTTCCTTCTTCCAGATGTGTTAGGTTACAACTCCGATTACCAAGCCAGTTCGCCTATGGTGATTGTGGATAATGGGCATTTTGGTCTAGTTTGAAAAGCATCAGGCTGGAGATGCTGGGATAGCGATGTACTAATTATTGGTTTAATTATTTTTGGTAAAAGCAGAAATTTTGCTCAGAGGGACAAATAATAACCAAGCTACAAGAACAAAAGCAAGAAACAAACAAAAAAAGGCATGAAACAATAACTCAGAGATGGTCCCTTAAACATACAGATCAAGTATGCAGGGTAGCACCACAGCCACCAAAAACCTTCTTCAGGATTTGAGATGGCTTTCTATCTTCCAGCCACTGGCTCATTTCCTGGGCAAAATTGTCAGGAAATGGAGGAGCTGTGGGAGATGAAAGAAGACAGAAATGGAGACAATGGAAGCACACCCGAATGATGAGAGTGGCAATTAAACTGCCTGTCTGCACAGGATGCTTTGAGAAGGCTGATAAAGGCTTTATCAATAATGAAATTTCCATCACTGCTTTAACCACCTGGGGACGACAGCAGTCACTGCTAAAGCTCCAGCTGCTAAAAAAAGAGAGATATAATCAGACCAACTCAGCCAAGGGGTTAGAATCAGAAAGCGGCTTTTAAAAAAATTGCATCTCGAAACAAAAGCTAGAATTTCCAACAGATCAAAATCCGAGTGACAAAATAAAAAGTGGAACCCTTTTAATTAGGAAACTAATACATTGTGGTGTCACAGGCTATATAAGAGCACTGGAAAAATACATGTAAACGGCCACAGTGCTTAAATCTACATATTTTTTCTTGTGCGAATGTATATGAAGCTATCCTTCTATGTGTATCTGAACAAACTTCTGGTCCTTAGTCTAATTTCAAAAGCTTCTGCAAGCAATCAGATTATCTCTTTGATAAAAGCAAAGAACTGGTCTGGAGGCAGGGTGCTTGGAAGAAAGAAGCTACAGGGAGAGAACAGCCACTTTTGGCTGGGCGTCTCCCAGGTCTTGGAAAAATTAATTTTTGGATGACAACTCCCAAAACAATGTTAACTAGTCTAACTGTTTCTGTACTTGCCCTTGAAGGAATGTGCCCCGTGACACAAAAATGTCTGCCACCTGTATTAAGGAAATATGTATGAAACACTTAAAAACAAGCCAGTCCACCTCTTCACTTTCATCCCTTTGCTTTACCAGCACCATTGAGTATAACAGGTATTCCCATTAACCATACTCCTAACGGGTGTTTCATCTAATAGTAAAATTCTCGCACCAAAGATGCATGGATAGATCTAGAGTTCCTTTTTTTTTGTTGAGGGTCTACAAAATCGGGGTGGGGTGGGTTGTGGGGGGCCATTCCAGGAATTCTGCGGAGGTTTGGCAGATTGCTTTGGATCTGGGGCAAGGGTTGCATTCCTGTGCGTCTCTAACAGCTGTAAGTTGCCGTTTTTAAACTAAACATTAGTGTTTCCCACAAAATCATGGACCAGCAATTCCACCCTTCCTGGTGTTGTTGGGATACACCTCCCATCATCCCTAGTCAGTATAACCAATGGTTGGGGATAATGGGACATCTAGAGGGCTACATGTCCCTCACCCAGATGTTAAATCATGATAAAGCTGCAATCTTACAGCCTGAAAGGCCTAATTGAAAGAGCAAGCTTGGAGAAATTCCTTTTTTTTTTGGAACCCTAATTCTCAAGTCACTAGCTATGCTGCTTGCAGAATTATGGGACTTGTCATCAAAAAATGTAACTGTTCCAAGGCCTGGGAACAATGAGGATTAAGATGGTTCTCCCTCTTCCCTTGCAACCTGTAAAGTATTTCTTGTACAGGCTTTCAGGATTCCATCACTAGCTTGTGACACCATCACCCGGTTAATAAGCAGCCCCCGTTCTCTTTCTCAGTTGGCAGCGTCATCAACCTATAGCTTACGTAGTAAAGAACAAGCCTTCTCTTGTCTCCATCAACTTTTGGCAGCCTTGTGCTAAAGTTCACAACCACCGACAGTTCTGGGACCCAAAGACATGCAAAAAGCAAGGGGAAGAGACGGGGAGTGGAAAAATGATTGCTTTGCATTAAGACCGCACGGCTTGCGGAGAACAGCTCTTCCACTGCCCGCCACCAGCACCCCATGACTTCCTTCCTCACACATAAGACGCACTTGCGACCCATTCTGATGAGCCTGTGTGTGGTCACATTCTGCTCCTAGTTTCAAAGATGGGGTGTGTTTCTAACTTTTTTCAAATCGCAGTAAACTCATTAGTGACACAGGAGGTGCTTTGCTTTTAGAACATGTTCAGGTTCAAGCCCCATTTGTGGCACATAATACTTTCAAAAATCAAGAATAAAAAGCCACAGAAGCAAATCTGAAAACAATCCCCAAATGTTCCAAATCCCATCCTCCACGGCTCCAGCTTTGGCAGCGCCTTCAGAAACTAGGTAGAGTTGGAATTGACCTTTACTCAAAATGCAGGAGGGCAGCTGGTCTTAGGTAGGTAGGTAGGTAGGTAGGTAGGTAGGTAGGTAGGTAGGTAGGTAGGTAGGTAGGTAGGTAGGTAGGTAGGTAGGTAGGACCATCCAAAGACATTTTGCTGCTTAAGATGAAGGACGAAACGGCGCCTCCCTCTCCCCAACTGAACATAGAGAAGCAAACTGAACCCCCAGTTGAATCTTATTTCAGTAGAGGTGACAGGGTAACATTCTCTGCCTCACCTGGGGATAGCAAACCAGCTTAAAGGAATAGGGCAGGTCATGGGGGAGTTTATGTCGATGTGCCTTCCAGCAGAGAGGCATGGCTAAGGGCCTAGAAAGAACAACCCCTGAACTACTGCTGCTTCCCTTCCACTTTGCATCTGCCCCCTGAAAGTAGTAGCAGCCTCATTCCTCCTAAAGTGACAACCTTGAAACCAGCAGTGGGGAGACATTACCCTCACATAGGATCTAGTTGCTTTTTAATCACTATTGGTGGCGTGGGTGATTCTTTCTCATTTGGGGGGGGGGTGGCCCTTGCCGCCAAGAATGGGGTTCACAGCCTGGGGGTACATCTGGACCCAACGCTCACCATGGAAACCCAGGTGGCGTCGGTGGTCCGTACCGCCTTTTTCCACCTTTGGCGGATAGCCCGGCTGTGGCCCTATCTTGATTTGGGGGCCCTCACTACTTTGGTGGATGCACTCGTAATCTCGAGATTAGACCACTGTAATGCGCTCTACATGGGGCTACCTTTGAAGCTCATGCAGAAACTCCAGGTGGTGCAGAACGCGGCGGCCAGACTCCTTACTGGAGTGAGAAAATACCATCACATCTCCCCTATTCTGGCCGCGCTGCATTGGCTGCCCATCCGGTTCCGCATCGACTTCAAAGTTTTGATGCTTACATATAAAGCCCTAAATGGTTTGGGGCCTCGATACTTGGCGGAACGCTTACTCCCATCCAGATCTACCTGTGTCACCCGAGCGAGTCAGGAGGTGAGGCTGAGGAGTCTAATGCCGAGGGAGGCCCGGAAGGAAAAAACAAGAAACTGGGCCTTCTCGGCGGTGGCTCCTCGCCTCTGGAACAACCTGCCTCCAGAGATTCGCTCGGCTCCCTCGCTGGGTATTTTTAAGAAACAACTGAAAACATGGATGTTTAGACAGGCCTTCCCTCCCAGTTAATCCCTGACCTCTCTCTTGCTTCCTTTATTATGTTTTCCCTTTCCATCTTACAGAATTTTAATCGTGTACAAATTGCTTTTAATTATACAGTATATTGGTTTTGTATTGTGTGTTTTGTGCTGTAAGCTGCCTAGAGTGGTCAATATGACCAGATAGGTGGGGTATAAATGGAATGAATGAATGAATGAATGAATGAATGAATGAATGAATGAATGAATGAATGAATAAATAAATAAATAAATAAATAAATAAATAAATAAATAAATAAATAATCACAATCCCAAGAACTGTCAGCCAGAGCCCTGTGCAAAATAGCAGGGGGAGGTATATGGAGAGTCTCACTAAATGAGTTACTAAGTCGCTAAAAGCTGTGCCCCTCAAAATTCATTGGGCAAATAGGGCTGCTTTTCTTTTGGAAGAGGGTCACTTGGGAGACACCCTACTTTTGCGTGGCTCTGATGTTTCAAGTACAAGGCACTGCCAAGAACTGTCAGCCAGAGCCCTGTGCAAAATAGCAGGGGGAGGTATATGGAGAGTCTCACTAAATGAGTTACTAAGTCGCTAAAAGCTGTGCCCCTCAAAATTCATTGGGCAAATAGGGCTGCTTTTCTTTTGGAAGAGGGTCACTTGGGAGACACCCTACTTTTGCGTGGCTCTGATGTTTCAAGTACAAGGCACTGGGCGATTTCTATGCTGATGTGTTAATGTTGTAAGAGAAACACTTGGTGTGATTTCACTCTTAGAATTATGGAACAGAGTGCCTCTGAGTATATGCTCAGTGCAGGACGTTTCTGTTTCAGAAGATTGACTTAGCTCACAGTCCTTTCACTTGAAAACCCATTTCTGCCCCATTGAGTGTCTTTTATTTCATGCTCCCTTTGAGTAAAATGCATTTCATTGTTGTGGTTACAGTTACTCAGTTGGCAACAGGAAATTCTTGCTGACTATTACCTGTACCAGTGATAGT